TGGGCGACCACGAAACAGGCTTGTAGGGATGAACTTGTAGTTTACTTGTCTTTTTCCTCCCACAATATATATATATATATAAGTGACGTCATACCTAAAGACAATAGTTTTATGCGCTCTTGTCTACACAAGTGCAGCTCAGGATCATGAATAATAAAGCAATTACAGGATTCGGTTTTCGCATGATAGAGATAATTATCAAGGCCTTAGTTTAGTAACACAAACTTTGGCCTTGACAATTATCGCTATCATGCGAAAACCGAATCCAATAATTGTTAGATATTTGTATGGATCAGTTAAAAAAAAATGGAAAGCTCAAAACAAAAAGGAAGCGTATGTCTTTCTGTCAAGCAGTAAACACAAATTGCTATTGGTTAGCGGTGCCAACATGGCTGCCACGAGGATTTTAGCTCCTCTTCTTCGGTTACTATATGACATGTAATAGTTTCCCTTGTGAGTTTATGTTGTAACTTAGGACATGTGATTTTATCTTAACAAATAAAGATTATGTTATGTTATGTTGTGTTATGTTACTTACAAGTTAAGGTTTTCAAAGTACATCGATGTGCGTTTAGGGGAAATATATTTGAATGAGTTCTTCACGTACTTGTTTTTTTTTTTTCTCTATAACCAATAATTGAACTTATAGCAATGCAACATAGTTTCCAAAAGAGATCTTACATCAACTCTCTTGGGGTTGGTTACGACTATTCTACCTAGACGCGACGAGGTACGTTAGCTACACTCTTACTTTTGACCTATTTAAAAGTCGATGGAAGAATGAAAAGCTTTCTGACAAAAAAGATAAAGCTCCTAACTGAAAGGGAATGAAATTCATTTCAAAGCTGGTTAATGTAAAATGTGCGGATACAGACAGCTAAGCTTATCTTGGGCTTTCAGTGTGCTCAAATATCAGGTTAGCATTGGCCAATGGAATGGTATTAGTTATTTAGATGGAGTTCAGATAAATCGCATGTATAACCGCTGGGGGCGCTGAGGGTGAGAGATTAAATGCATCCTTCACGCAGAATTTCAGAAGCAAAGGGTAGCAAAGAAAAGCCACGTGAGAAAATGAGTCAAGAAATTTCTGATTAATTTTGTTTATATTATTTTAGCGATGTGATACAGACTTGATAGATTTTTGTATTTCGTTTATCTTTTTCAGTGTCTCGGAACTGAGTACCTGTCAACCAGTGGACTCATGCAGAGTAAAAGTTGAATGGAATAAAATGGTTAAAAATGAAATTTGGTGACTGCCTTTTTTTCTTCTTTGTAAACCTAAACAGCCCAGTCAAGCTCAAGAAACTCTAAAATGAAAGCGATTTGTTTTAGAACACGTACAATTCAGGGCCCATTTGTTTAAAAGGGCGGATAACGCTCTTCGACGAGTATAAGATAAGTAATAACTATATAGGGATTTATCCAGCAACTTCATTTGCGTTATGCATCTCCCGATTACATCCCCCATAAAAAGAAATCGAAAATGTTCGTCTTATCCAACGGATAGAATTCTGCATCATCGCGTATGACTGCAAGGGGCAACTCCGTCTGGAATTGGTTAGAGTCATGCGATTCCAAAATGGAGGATATTATAGAATTGAGCATACTTAGCCCTTTTATCTAGGATCAAATTTCGGTATAGCGACCCACGAACGATTAGTCTACCTGCAAACGATGTGAAACGTTCTTTTGAGCGACTTATGGAAATTTTACATAATGGTGTAGTTTCGCCTGAGGCATATGACCAAGGAAATTTTCTTTCACTTTAGTATTTCTCTCCAGCGTTTCCGATAGTGTTGAGACGGTGATCGACAGCATTGACACTTTTTATTTATTAATACACGAATTTGTCTATCAATTTAAGGAAATGCACTTAAGACAATTCTTTGTCTTTTCTTAGATATCAAAGTTTCAATTATATAAAGGCAACGGCTTATGCACTAGTGTATATTACAAACCTACAGATTTACATAGCTTATTGTTGTATTTGTCATTGCATCTATCACATGCCAAGAATTCAATTCCCTTTTCTCAGTTTCTTAGACCTCTACGTTTATTTAGTTTCTGATTTTTCCGACAAATCGGAGGCAATGTGTCAGTTTTATTGAGAAACGTGGCAATCCTGTTTCTGTCGTTCAAGCGGGCCACCACAGCACCCAACTAATCGAACATGGCATAAGGAAAATACCGGCCGCCTTTCGTTCACTCTCACAACCACGCAGTTAAATCCATATTATTATTCTTAAAAAGCTTTAAATGACTTTAAAATGATTCTGAGACAACTGCCAAAAGTCAAACATCGGCGACAAAACTCTATTGTGTTCGGCAGACGCACACCCCATCGTTTTTACTCTTCAAATGATTTGATTCAAGTGCATACTCGTGTTTGTTTGGGTAAGTAGTTGCTTCCAAGTTTTTATCCAGATGAACACACAGCAATAACGCAACAAACACTTGAAAATTTATGAGATACGTCAACTCCATTATCAAAAAAATCCACGCGTAACATAAATCCGTGCTACTTCAGTGCGGCTTCTCATCTGGAGCATATGTTTCCCTTCGTTATTATACTAGCCCACAAAGGACTTCAAGATACTCCAAAAATGAGTGGGAGATCTAAGCAGGTGATTTCACAAAATTTGCAATAAATGTGGGCATGTTTGGCTGTTCTTCATGGCGCTGTTGGCTTTCACGAGAAAGCATCATGAAGTTGTTACTCCTCCTTGCTCTCTACGCGGTCGTAATCGTCCAGAGTCTCAAAGGTAAGCATAATCGGATCTGCCATTTTTTTAACGTTTTGCTTTTGATTTCGTCGTCGATGTAAGTGCAAGGAATTTTTATCAGATCGCATTTAATACAAAGTTTTGTAAACTTGCCTTGGAAAGGTTGTAACTTGTGTACCTAGACTTACCTCTTAAAGGGATTGAGGGGGCATTTGGGTTTCCGAACTTACGAGCTCGGTTCATTTTTGTGCGAAAAACTGAAGTTTAGGAGCTAAAGGCATGGCCACTTTTCGGTATTATCATTTGTTCCTGATGAATTGAAATATTTTATTAACACATTAGATCATTATGTCAGTTCACTTTCCTTTGATAGGACTTTGCAATATTCGATTGAGAACATTTCTATGATTTATTCGCATCGTCGGTGTGCAATTGAATCATTTCTCTAGACATAAAAATTACCTTTGGACAACTTTCACTGAACCAAAAAAAAAAGTCATTTAATATCTTCGTAATAAAACTAAGGCATTATTGAGATAAACGTAACTGGAGAGTGACATTGACATAAGTTATAGGACACTAGAATATATTTTTTATCTCAATATTCATATTCTGGACGCGGCTGGCAGAAAGAAATGTTCTTATTTTCATCCAGAAATTGATTTATTTGCATCCCTTAAATTGCAGAGCTAGAAAATCCAAAGTTATTCGAAGGAGACATTCTATTAAAACCTAGACAAGCGGCTGCAATCAGGATGGGTGGCTTTGGAAGAGCTGCAAATATTGGTCGACGGTGGCCTGGTGGTGTTATGGTTGTGTATGTTCATCCTGCATTACGTAAGTTCAAAATGAATTTGTGACGAACAGTTTCGTGAACAAATTGCTTCAAGAGACAAGTGATTTATAAACGTATTTTATTTGGTTCTTACTTATGATCTATGGGAGGATAGACGTTTTGATGACGTCATCGTTGAAAACATTTTGCTTTATTATCATATAAAACATGAAGATTCCATGTTTCATCTTCCAAACTGCGGTAGTTGGAGCAAACAAAAATGCTTTTGATCTAGCTTGATGCGACTGAGGTTTAAAAATTTAATGAATGTGAGCAGGGAAATTACAATTGTTGAGAATAATGATTACGAAAGAACGAGGAACCGATGCTATTTCTTCAGTTTCGTGCAATGCTGTGATCACCAGTATTGGACACACAATTGGACAGACCAAACGTCAGTTTGGTACGCGTTTGAAAGAGCATCAGAGAGCGGTCTTCTTTTGCAAAAAAAGAAAATTTAGCTTTGGCGGAGCACACATGCCTAACTTATTATACAATTGGGTGGGATAATTCTAAAATTATCACCGCTAATCGCTGCTACTACCAGTGCCTTTGTTTGGGAGCATAACATATCAACTTCTCCCAAGCTTCCCTGAGTCGCGATGATGGCGGCTTACTATCTACCTGACGCTTATTAACACCTCTTCGGAAAAAGGGGCGGTTAATTAGTGGGCATAGTAAAGGATCTCTTGTGGCAACGATCAGATGACCCCTGATGAAGGTACAAGACAGGAGTATCGAAACGTTGGGTATACTTCCCTGCTAACATCCATTGAATCTTTAAACCAGAATTGCATCAAACTATGTCTGATTGTCCACTTGGTTGCTGTGTGAGTTTTAATATATCAAATGTACTGAAGTTGGAAGTTACCCATGCAAATTGTTACTCGAGACGCTAGTAAGAAAGCAGATGCATTAAGCGCTAAAAAATCACAGTTCTCATCGCTTAATTGTGAAAATTATTGCTCATATATTACTGTTAGTGCTGATAATAACTCATAACCATCATCACTATTATTCACAACCGTTATTGTTATACAATACAATATAATACATAGCTTATATAGCGCAACGCTTCTCAAAGATCCAGTTGCGCTTTACAGTGATAGTGATAGAAAAATATCATCAATTAAGAATTAAAGTGAAAAATCAATGAAAGCAAAATCTACAACTGCCTAAATAAATGGTTTTTAAGTTTAGACTTAAATGTCTATATCCATATGTTTTAAGATTGCATTTAGGTAGTATTAAGAGTAGTATTCTTAGAAGATTTTTGGTTTCTATGAGGAATGTACGGTCTTAACAGTTCACTAAGATACAGAGGACTCAGGCCATTAACACTTTAAAAACGAGAAGTATCTTAAAATCAATACGGGTGGACACAGGCAGCCAATGTAGGCTTCTAAGTATAGGCGTAAGGTGATCATATCTGCTGGTGGCTGTAAGCAGGCGGGCAGCTGAATTTTGTGCATGTTGTAATCTATTAATTTGTGACTTCTGTAGGCCAGATATAAGAACGTTACAATGATCCAACTTCGACGAAATAAAGGTATGAATAAGTTTTCACACTGACGGTGTGAAAGGAACTTTCCAATTTTAGCTATGTTACGAAGGTGGAAAAAGGCAGTTTTACAGATGTTATTTATTTGTTCATCCATAAAAAGCACACTATCAAGCCAAACACCAATGTTCTTGGCAGATTTACTAGCTTTAATAATGTCAGCTCCGATCTTGATCCAATCAAGTGGAGGTTGAGGACGATAGCGAGCAGTCAGGACAAGGAGCTCCGTCTTATCCCTGTTGAACTTTAAGCTTGTTCGCAACCATCCATAATTAGACATCTTGAATACATTCCTCCATTAGTGATTTGGACTGTAAAGCATCTGAGGGGTTGAATGTCGTGTATATCTTCGAGTCATCAGCATAGAAATGATACCTCATACCGTAAAGTTTGATGACATCTGCAATCGGGGCCGTGTACATAGAGCACAAAGTCGGTCCTAACAAAGAACCTTGTGGAACACCACAGGCCAGCTTGTGCTTAAATAAACAATCATTCGCCACTCTGATATATTGGAACCGATTTGAAATATAACAGCGCATCCAGGCCAGTGCATTTCCCTTGACACCGTAGCGACACTTAAGTCGTGTGAGAAATATTTGATGGTCAACGGTGTCAAAAGCCGCTGAAAGGTCCAAAAGAACAAGAATGACACAGGCATTCTCATCGATCGATCATCCTAAGTAGATCATCATTGATTCGCGTAAGAGCTGTTTCTGTACTGTGTCCCTTCTTGTATGTTGACTGAAAAGTTTCAAGCAGATTATTATCGTCTAGATGGTCAGTGGAGCGCAAAGCTACTACTTTCTCAGTTGCCTTGGACATAAAGCGCAGATTTGAGATAGGTCTGTAGTCCTGATAAATTTCATAGTCCAAAGAGTCTTGTTTGATGACAGGATCTAAAACCGCCTCCTTAGAAAAAGGTCAGGTACTAAGCCATCTTTAAAACACAGATTGATCATACTAACAAAGACAGGCTAGAGGACAGAAAAACAATCCTTTTATTAGAGATCCAGGGATGGGGTCCAGGGAGCACGACTTTATAAGTGAGCTTAGTTCAGTTGATGTTGTTGGAAAGAATCCACAAAGTTCAGGTCCATGATATCGTTGATCAGCATTCATGGGGTCGGCGGTAGTAGTTGGAAAACTCGCACCATTACACTGGACCTTACCCGGCCGTCGAAATAATCCGCAAACATGTTCGCGAGATTTCTGGGACAGTCATGAGTTGGTAATTTTTTACTGCACTGGTATTTAACATTTTTCCAAACCAAGAGAACAAGACACGTTGGCTGTCAGAGAATTCATTAATTACTTCAGAATAAAATTTCATCTTGGACTCATGAATAGGCCGATTCACTCGTTTGCACTGTTCAGTGTGTAATTCCCGGTCAACGTTAACTTTGTGCTACGCCAACGTCGTTCTGGCTTTCTCCTTTCTGCTTTCTCCTGTTTGATGTCATCTAAATACCAAGGAGTAGCAGGTCTGAGCGTAATAATACTTTTCTTGACAGGCGCATATCGGTCGAGTAAGGAACGCAGAGTGTTTTCATAGCAACCAGATAGTACCGAGACATCAAGGAAGTCTTTTTGATTCATAAGAAATGAATCCTTAATATCATGTACAAAATTATCTCTGTCAATAGAACGAATTTTTCGAAAGCAAACAGACGTTTTTGCAAGGCCAGGTTTTTCTAGGCAAGGAGCTTCCCACCTAACCGCACAATGGTCAGAAATAACAGGGTCAGAAACCCTGACATTTCTTACAACTTGGTCTCCTGACCTTGTGATCACTAGATCTAAAGAGTGTCCATTCTTGTGCGTAGAATCCTCCACATGCTGTTTAAGATAAAAAACATTAAGCATCCCTCGAAAACGGGCAGCAGCTTGATCACTGGGATTATCAAGATGGAACTTAAAATCACCTGTGATCATTAATGGTCCAGTTGAGATTATGAGCTTTTCCAGGAGTGAACTAAATTCATTCAGAAAGAGTGTAACGGACAATCGGTTCTTTTGAGACGGTGACGGTCGGTAAACCATCACTTTTCTTAGGGACGTAGTTGTATAAGTGAAGGTACAGTCTGTTAATTCCAAGGATTTAAATGAGATATTCGGAGACAGTTTTTTCAACTTAAATCGGCTTTTGTACAACAAGGCTACACCTCCTCCCCTGGAATGTTTACGAGGCAGATGATGAAATGCAAAGCCTGTCGGGCAAATGTCATTCACAGTTAGCTGGTCAGAGATGCCCGCCTGCAGCCAAGTCTCCGCGATCACCAAGACATCGATATTGCCATCCAAAACAAAATCCTTGATTACCAATGATTTATTTTTCACCTAACACGCACTTAACAGACAGAACTCGACTGATTTGGATACAGAAGAAACTTGTCGAAACAGTGGAGGTCGTTTGATCGTCGTCAAATTTGCATAGCTTGCTAGCCTTGTTGATCTCGCTGATCTGTTGCTGTTATTCGTTATGCATACAGAAATGGCTTTTGTCAATCCAGACAGCAAATGGTTCCGTTGACCAGCTCTTGAGCCTCGATAGTGAAATAGGCTACTATTTCTTAGGTTAGAGAAAATTCGATAAGGAAGAGCAGTTCTGTAAACACGACGAATCTTGAAGAGTTGAGCTCTTGTATAGGTTTTAGGTGTTGAATTCCTATGCAAATTCATTCCGGTTCTGTTTCCAAGTAATAGTAATTCGTAGGCAGCATCTGGTCCAGGATTGATAACAATATCATGGTTATCATTACCTTTTTTATGGTTATGATATTCCTCATCCTTATTCATTAAAAACTGAACCACTGTTTCTGAGGGAAACAGATCATTTTATTTCCTTCGAAACTCAATTTTTCCTGATGCATTGAGATTCAAGGGAGGATAATGGACTGTTCGCGAGGGAGCAGTCTTAAATTGACTTTCTACATTAAGAACGCATAGTAAAAACCAATCGAAAGAAAAAAGAGAGTTTTAATCGTGAGTGCAAATTACTGCAATGCTAAAAATTGTGTCGCCACCTTCAGTGACGCTCTTTTCTGATTTGTATCATTATCCTCATCATCTTCATTTACCTTTCAAAAGGCCGAAATCGCAGAGCCCGCAGAGCTATACAGCTGGGATTGTGGGAGTGGCAGTCGAAGGCATGTATTAAATTCAGGGGAAGGAGGAAAGGAGAACGTTCCTATGTCAACTTTGTACCTGGCCGTGTGTAAGTATTTAAGAGTGCTTTTTCTTGATAGTCTGTTAAAAAAAAGGTAATTTGGTAAGTCAGACGTTAAAAATGATTATCCAGGTTTTTCTCAAGAGCACATAAAAAAAATTATTTATTTATCGTCTTTTAATGAAACGATCTTGTATTGGTGATAAGGAAAGATTAAAGGAGTTAGTATCAAAGGTTCTTATCAAACAACAAACATATGAAATACATATATATGAACTGCGGTTATGAAACGTATATGTGCGCGATCCTTCGCAGTAAAGCACTATTTAAGCAATAGTGAAAATCAGACCTGAAAAAAATTCAGGCCTGTACGGGATTCGAACCACTGACCTCTGCGATACCAGCGCAGCGCTCTACCAACCGAGCTAACAAGCCAACTGGGAGGTTCTTAAGTAAGAACCAAAGCAGACGATCAGAGGCAGATCGGGGAGAAGAAGCGTACGCGCGTATCAGTCTTTAATCAGGGATATTCTAGCTAAACCGCATTTCAGAACAATGGCATTATTGCTTTTTATTGCTTAGTAACAATACTGAAAAATCAAGCATTTGTCGTTGATGACCATAGAGGTTAACTTTCCTAAAAAGAGTTACATTCTTGTTTTAGTCATTAATTTTTACCGGCGGGGACGGTATCGCGAGTCTGAGTGTTACTCAGGCATAACTGAAAAATATCGTTGAACTCAGTGAAATGAATTGAAATACAACAGAAGATCGCTAACATTACAAAACCGAAACGGTAAATGGCTTTTAAACTGCATTATTATTAATAATCAGCGAAAGTCGTTATAAATCAATGTTAACTTCCATCTTGGCTTCTTGGCTTTAACATCACTTCTTAACTATGCTTACCATCCGGGGGAAAATATATAGAGGAAATTATCATGTGATATTCACCAGCCGTACTAGGAAAACATTGTGGCCGAGGTCTAGGATGCAGTGAAATGTTCAGCAGGCAACGATGGACAATACTCGTACTCTTGTAAGTTGGATCAGCGATGATCTGATCGGCCCAAAATAACGAATACGAAATATAAATATAGAGGCAAGACCGATACAACGTAGATAAGTAAATTTTAAGACGGCGCACTATATTTCGGCTGGCCAAACCAGCCTTCTTCAGGTGCAGTGGGAATTAACAGAGAATTGGGGTGATGCTT